ATACTTTCTCCCAATGCTGAGTGCTTGGTTTCTTGTTTTCTATCTTCCACTCAAAAGAGATTTCTTACAGCTTCAATTATGACTCCTGCTTGCCTTCTGTGAAACAGTATACCACCTCACTACAAAACCTAAGCACATCATTTGAGAATACTTCTTTTACATAAAATAACTTAGATGGTTTTTAGGCTTTATGGTTCTATAAGTCTAGAACAAGTATGGTTATGAAATCTCATTTCTGCTTTTTTCATCAGGTTAAAAAATTAGCCTTATAAATACAGGCAATTGGCTTTTCTATTCTTTCCACTTTTCCTTCAAGAATCTTAAAAATTCTGTGATTCTTGAATTTATTGATGTAGCCCTACGGTACTCAAAAACTTCAGATTTACATTTCTATTTGCTGCACATGATTAATAGAGGTATTATCAATCCTTTAAAGATATCACACAAATCAAAGAAATTCTATGATTCAAACTTCTTTGACAGTGTGACTTGTGTTCAAAACCACAAGTATCTGTATTAGAATCCTCATTCTAACACTTATTAGCTATGAGATCTTGATTAAATTACTTAATCTCCTGAGTCTCAACTTTTTTAGGGATGAAAAACAGTACTTACAACTCATATGGTTGCTATAACTTCATGAGAAATACTTACATCTTAACACAATATCTGAAATATATTAAGAGCTTGTTATAGTTTGGATTTGAAATGTCTCCTGCATGGAAGGATTGGTCCCCACTCCGGGTGTTACCAAGACATGATGGAACCTTTAGGAGGTGGGAATTGGTAGAAGAAAGTTAAGTTATTGAAGGTGCCCTTAAAGAGAAATTGGGACTTCAGCCCCTTCTTGTTTCTCTGCTTTCTGGCCACCATGTGATAAACATTTGTGATAAACCATGGGATAAACTCCTCTGCCACATGCTCCTGTCAGGATGCATTACGCTACCATAGGCCCAAAGCAACAGATAAGGGACTATAGTCAAAAACCTCTGAAATTCAGAGCCAAATTAAACCTTTACTCTTTATTTATTTATTTTTATTTGTTTGCTTGTTTGTTTATGTGTGATGCTAAGGATTGAACCCAGAGCCTCATACATGCTAGGCAAATACTCTATGACTGAGCTACATGCCCAGCCCAACCTTTTTATCTTTTAAGAATATTATCTCAAATATTTTGTCATAGAACAAGAAAGCTGACCAACACAAAGCTCAGTGTTAGCTTCAATTAGCAACAGCATTACCAGATTTAATGGTTCAGATATTTTTTAAGTAAACTCAATAAGCATTTGTACATTTTCATTGTCCATAATGAACTATTTTCATTCCCTTGTAGATTTCAATTATTTCTGGAGCCAACCAACTTACTAGATTGTTAAATACCCATGAGGCCTCTTCTTATTTTTGTCCCCCCGAAATTACTTAGCACAATACCTAATACATAGAAGTTTTGCTAGTAGTTAATTCAAATAATCTTTACACCTACCTATTTCTTTTCAAGATTACTTAAGTTCTTGGTCCTTGCTGTATACCTACAACTGTCAAAGTCCCTTAATCACCAAATATGCACAAATAAATGAATAAATGTTGACCTGTGTCTAAATCTATCATCGATCTAGCTTCCTAGATATGTGAAAGGGTGCTCTTTTATTCTCTGATCCAATAATTTCTTCTGTCCAAAATGGCCCCACCACAACATCGAGCAGTCTCGCTGTTGGTTTATTTTGTATCAAAACATTCTACTGAAATTAAGCAGAAAATGGAATTTATTAGCTCACATAATTTGAAAATCCAAGTATAACACTAACTTCAGGCATGGCTACTGATCCCACTGTTCAAACACTGTCTCTTAGAACATGGCGTTTCTTTTCATCTTTTGGCTTTGCCTTCCTTTTACTGGCAAGCTCGTATTCTATTTTCTCAGCAACTCTAGGGCTCAAAGCATGCCTCTTTCTCAATAGTTTAGAAAAAAAATCAGAATTAACATTCATGTGAACTGATAGAAAAATGTGCTCATCTCTGAACAATCACTGTAGATTGTAGAGCAATGGACTATACTGATTGGCCAACAGTTAGGACTGAGTCATGTGAATATCCTGTGCCAGGATGAGATTCATGTAACTGAGAGGGGTGGTTCCCTAGGAAAACTGAGTTATTGCTATCAGATGAAAGGGGAATGAATAGTGGATTGGCAAAACTAACTGATGACTCCTATACCCTAAAACTTTTTGCATGCTGTCCACTGGATCTGGAATGGCTTTCCTTCTCATTTCAACCAACCCAAACCCAAGTTATATCTTTTCTGCTCCAAGAAGTATTATGCAATTTCCTCTAAGATTGATCCTTGATCGTTGTTCACTGGATGTAGTCACCTATTCCCATACACATTTCTCTTTTCCTAAAGATCTATTTTTTTAAAAAAAAACAAACAGGAGGAGAAACTTTAAAAAAATGTTCCTAATAAGTTATATTCAGGTCCAATTACAAACAGACTCTAAGTAATATGTTCTGTTTCCTAGGATACGAACTCTTGAAAGACAGTAGCTCTATCATGAATACTCTATACACTACGAAAGAACAGTCTATGAAGCAATTTTGATGTAATTTTACTTAGCTTTAAATTTTCTGCAGTGTCTAAGCAAAATATTTTAGCTAGTATAAATCTGAATTCATCAAGTACATGCAAAAAAGCAAGACTGGATTTTGGAGTTACCTCAAACAAGGCTCCAATCCTGACTAATATTCTCTCCCCTGCTACCCTTTAGCTACAGGTCTTTAAGCAAATTATTTAACATTTCTAAACTTTTTTCCTGTAAAAACAGGAAAAGTATATCTATTTGCAAATGGAAAGGCTGCTTCACATAATACAGAAAATAGATGTTCCTGGGTTGAAATTCTACCATTAATACTAGCTATATGACTTTGAGTTAATTTCTCACATGTAAAGTAGGAATAATAATACTTAATTCATGGGCTGTTGAAAGCAATGTGTTCTAAAATACCTAACAGTGAAGGGTAAATAGTGAACAACCAAAAAAATGATGTTATCAGCTTTAAATTATCTGTTAGAAGCTTTTTGTTCAAATTACCAAGTCTATAATATACTTTGTAATCTTCTTTTCAACACTTTTGACCAGATAAAGTATCAACCAAAAATACTGGTTTATATAGAACTATGGTATAAAAGTGTGGATAATAACATGTATAAAAATTCAGAGCACAATGCAGCAATTATAGCACATGCCTGTAATCCCAGCTCCATAGGAGACTAATACAGGATTGACAACTTTCAGGCGAGCAAGACTCTGTCTCAAAATAAACTAAAAAGGGTTGGGAATATGTAGTGCTTGCCTAGCATGTGTAAGGCCCTGGGTTCAATGCCCAGAACACTTAAAAAAAAAAAATCATACCATAGTAACATAAAACTTCCTTGGGATTACATATTAATCTTCACAAACACCCTTCAGTCTTTTGTTAATAAAATATTTCTTAAAAGCTCAACATATTGCTCCTAAAACAATTTAAAAGTAGGTAAGATAATGATCTAGATATACTCCTATAATCAACTTGTTCTTTAGATTCAGGTTTAATGTAATACTAAAATGATTCACAACAACATGAAATCACTGTGTCACATAGTCAGGTCCTCAACAAAACCAAAAAATTTGTGGTCTGAATGACAATTCAGATTTTGTCTGGCAGAACACATACAAAAGACAAGTGACCGCTCACATTTACCTTAGCAAGAAAGTTTAATTTTAATATCATTCACTTAAAAAATACAAATTCAGTACAACTGTTCCAAAAAGAGAGTAAATAAGCAGGCATTTAATTTCTTCCACTTTACACTACGGGAAAAGTTTCTTTGGAAGAATTAATTTCTTGAAGTAGTTTAACAGTTCTGTTTATTTTTCCAACATGAGTGAATCACATGTAACACTTAACAGTCTTTAATGAGTGCACAAACATAGGAAAGGTGTTAACTGCAAGATTACAAAATAAATAAAACGGAATGAATAAGAGACAAAATACTGCACATTCTCTCACTGCAAAAGCACTACATAAAAATATTTTACTACATCATGTGTAAGCGATTGTTTTCCTTTGTGTAAAGCATGAATAGATTCAACTTTTAATCTACTCCTTGAGGAAGCTATATTTTAAACACAAGAGAAACATATTACAGTATGTTGATTACTTCAGTCACCAGACATTGTTTCCTACCACTAAGAAAACCAAAAAGACCTAATTTCCTATTTTCTTTTCTGTGTTCAAAAATATGTAGAAAGCAAAGTAATACTTCAAAGTAAAAGGTAATAACAAATATAGGCAATCTATCTTTTCTAAGTAATTTTCTTCCCTTCATTTTTCCCCCTTTTTTTCTGGAAGACATGAAGAGTGGGGTTGGAAAGTAATAGGAATCTGAAGGGTGGGCTCTAGTTATTTTTACAAGTAATTTTGGCGAGTCAACCAGACCGAGGCGGAGAAAGAAACTGCGGCTTTTGAGTTCACATTGAACACGCGCACAAACACCCACCCCAAACAACACTTTCAAATAACGCCAGGGCAGAGATCGTTCCTTAGCTGACAATACAGCGACCAGAGGCGACACTCCTGCTACTAATCTAAGAGGGTGCTGCACTCCCAAGTCTCAGCGAAGTCAATTTGGCACCCCAAATCCGAAAGGGCCTGCAGAAACAGCCGGGCAAAGTTCTACCTCAGCAGTGGCAGCTGGTTTATTTTCTAGGAGAGACTAAAAAGTCATCCATCAATACTCTGGTCCCCTTCCCTGAGAGATGCTGCCGCGCGCCGCCTCGCGCCGAGGCGTCCGGCCCGCAGGCCCGGAGGGCTGGGTGGACTGGGGCAGACGTCTTTCCCCCGTTACCTGGGTCCCTACTGCAAGCCTGTGGGACCAGCTTTAACTACCCCGAACCCCGCCTGAGTGGGAGGGCTCCCCCGGCGCCCGGGTCTCAAGTAGTCAGAGATGCCGCAGACCCGCTCACCCGCCCGAGTGGTGTCCGTCAGGTCGTGGTTGGCCGCTCCCCGGGGAAACTCCCTCAGTTTCCGGCCGCTCAGGCTCAGCACCCCGGTTACTGCCGCTTCCTCCAGCGCTCGATCGAGGGAGCGGCTCCACGAGCCTGGGCCAGGACCGGAGCCCGCCCCGAGGCTCGGGCCGCAGTTAACACCGGAAAGGTTACCACCCGATGCCACTGGGCCAGAGTACTCAGCAGCCGCTGCAACAGCGACCAAGCCCGCGGCCGCCATTTCCCAGCCGACTACTCTCCGGCCGCCGCCTCTGCGCAAGCGCGAACAGAACTGATGGGTGGGCGGGGACAGGGGCTCCCAGACCCGGGACAATGATAGGCAGAGCTTTGATGCCCCTACGCTGGGCCGGGCTCCTGCCCCCGCCTATATGGAGGTTTTTCAAGGGAAATCAAAACGGAACCCGCAAATCTTCAGTAGCCTCCTACAAGGCTCACAGTAGCATATCTAATACATCTCTACAAAAATATCTTTAACGCTCCTCACCAAAACTTCCTTGCCTGCCTCCCTCGGGAATAGAGGATTAGGATTAAAGATTCTTTCTTAGCACTGTTGCTGCCAGAAATTTGGGAAGTGAGAGTGAACTCTGGATATAATCTAAAACGTTTCTCAACTTGTCATTGTACTACCAGATGATCCATTAGAGATTTTCGGATTTACTGTTAGTGATTGAGGGAAAAAATTGTGCTAATTTGGCTCTAACTTCCATCACAAGGGTTATATAAATATCCTCCCTTTTTATAAAAGAACTCTTTTATGAGGACACACAATCGCAATTGTCCTTTAGACTAAAGATTTTATGGTTGTAAGAGCAAGATGAATAATACTAAGGTCTAAAATGTATGTCTGTTTGGAACCATAAAGAAGAGAAATGCTCTATGATCTAAACGTGGGAATTAAAGGTAGAAGCAAAGGCTCAAAATTTGAAACCATTCAAGTAATGTAAAAGTGGAACACATCACTTCATTTGAGACCAATTAGACCTCGCTAATATTGCAATCAGGGTCTAGCATGTTTTTCAGTGTTTTCACTGAAAATACAAGAGCCTTTCAGATTCAGTCATTTTCCTGAGTGATTATAATCTAATTTTATTGTGAAATCCAGACATATAAGTCTACTAGTGCATAAGAACAATAAAAAGGAGGGAGGATGAGGTGGGGTAGGAAGGAATCATCTATAGGAGTTTAGAGAAAAGGAATGCGCATTATGAATAAAATTTTCAATCAATGCTGAAGAATTAAGTAGAATAAGCTAGAAGCTGAGAGCAATATTCCATATTGAAAGATCAGCATAAACACATCTGGCTATGATTTGTGATGGTATATATAGAGAACACTGAGGTCACAGATGGGAAAGTTCATGTCAGAGAGCAAAAGAAAACAAGGTTAGAGAGATTTCATCCATTATTCAAGGCCCAACTCTTCAAAAAAAAAAAAAAAAAACCTTGATTAATACTTCCCCGAATTCCTAAATTCCCATTTGCATTTAGGAATTTTGGCAACTCAGTGCCAAAGTTGATTAGTAACAACTTTGCTCAAAGAATTTTTCTATGAACTCTTTAATACTACATTCTAGTGTCTTCAGCAAATTTAATAAATTACTGATGTCTGTTATGATGTGGGTCAATTCAATGGCAATATATCATACTTAATATGTAAAATTAATGTTTTGGTTTCCATTATACTACTTTTTCTAAAATTGTTATTTTTAGAGCAGAACTTTATTTTATAATTGAGACTTCAACCATAATGACTGTTTACTCATAGATTCCATATTAACACTACAATGTTATAGATCAGTTGCCAGATGTTTCTTTCCAAAATGTACCATCATTACCTTCCACATTTACACATTCTGACAAGTTCTTACTAATATGGCCTCATACACACATATCCCTTTATATTTGGAAAATACTATGCTAATCCTTAATTGACCAAATTTATAGGTTGAATTTCATTAGACTAAATTTAAGGTCCTTAACATATTAAACTCTATGCTGTATCTCATACCTCAGAGCTGATGAATAGGAATTAAATAGAATGGATAAATGGAAAACAGCAGACTCAGAAGATAGGTTATGTACTCACACAGGAGAAAAGTTTGGGAGGGGAGAAAAACTTATCTTTTTCTTGATACTGAGGCTTTTACAATAGTAAAATTCTTGTCAAATGCTTGGAGTTCATATTGAAGTGTCATTTGCAAAAAGATTAACGGGGCATAGTGGTGCACCCCTTTAATACCCATCACTTGGGAGGGTAAGGCAGGAGGATGGCAAGTTTGAGGCCAGCCTCAGCAACTTAGGAAGATTCTGTCTCAAAATAAAATTTAAAAAGAGCTGGGGATATAACTCAGTGGTAAAGCATTCCTAGGTTCAATCCCTAGTACCTGTCAACCCCCCCTCCCCGCCCCCAAAAAATAAGGACAAAGACTAACTCCTATGTCCAAAAGAACTCTTTAAAGGTAAGTTTAAATCATATGCTTGGTTGTTTTTGTTTTTGTTTTTTTAATAGTGACCAAAAAAAAAAAAAAAGTCATAGAATTCGGGTAAAAGTTAAAAGTTTTGATCAGGAAAGAAGATATCGTTGTCTGCATTTGGAATGTATGGAATTCATTCTCTATAGTGCCAAGTGAGCTAGTTTCCTTATTACCACTTTGTAAAAAAAAAAAAAAAAAGAATAACCAAAAATTAGCCTGAAATTGCATATACTAAGTGAATTACAAAGCTATTGTCTGCAACTTACAATAAGCTTATCTAACAAAAACATAGAAGTGTTTTATGATTTGCTTCCAATTAAAATTGTGGTGAAGTTTATGCATGTTTAAAAAAATACATAATGTCTGATTAGAAAGAACACTGACCTTTTCTAATAAGTCTCCCTAACTCAAACACCAAAGTAATGAAGTACTGGTCAATACTGGTATAGGAGGTTTACTTACCATGTTACAAATGCTAAAATATGGCTATAACCAATTCTTAGATATCTGACAAGCCTTATAACACTCTACTTTCGGTGGCTATTCAATTCACAGAGCAGTTTATTATAAACTGAGAATTATAAGATCTGAGGCTCAACACAATTGCTGCATTCAATGGGATATATTGGGTCTCACTTTATTAAGATGTAAAAAGAAGAATTAAAACTGGGTGATGGATAAAGGTTCACTGTAAGTAATCTGATTTCCTTCTTTGAATTACTCCTGGATACCTCCTATAGGAGGCTATGAATGAAATGGTCAAAAGGAGTTAAAAGGAAGCCAATAGAAGAGACTAGACTGATTTGCCAATTTAGCTGGTAGGTAACTTTTCAGTTCCTAAAAGTTATAAATGTAAATAAAAGTTCTTCACAATTGAGCTGGTAGTTAACACTTCAAATCCTAAAAACTATATATGTAAATAATTACTACAAAGTTGTTTGTAATATAACACAATCTAAAAACCACAACTCAATCTTCATAGCTAAGAATAAATCATGTGAAACCTGTTACATTTTATTTGTTAAAAATGAACAGCTTCAGAATAGATCTAAATGTAACTTTTCCAAAAAACACCAAAAAGTACAGTGTAAAGCACCTCCTCATTAAATACAAACTTTGTTTTGTGATGCACTGCATCAATGTTTTGCATACACCTTGATGCAAAGGAAATTTTAAATTGCATCCTGTTAAAACAAAAACAAAAACAAAAACAAACTTTAAGAACTGAACACGGATGACTACAATGACATTCCAAGGAAGGATATTTTCTTTCAACATTGCATGTTTTTGTTTATATCCAACATGTTAGCACTCAAAGAGTTTTAATTTAGGAAAAATTTGAAAGAAAATTAAATTACAGATGCATGAAGAACAAGTTTAATATACCAAAGACACTTTGTTATTTGATGCACTTACTTTCAACATTTGGGGCAATTCTTCAGGTTTTCAAAAAATGGCATTAATAATACCTCTATATAATATTTAAAATAACAGAAAAATGAGAATACTTTCATACTGTTTTTCCACAAACTGTTCTAAAACCAAAAAACTCAAGCCCAGTTGATTTTCCTTTGCTTTAAAATAAGATACCAGCAATTCTAAACTTGTCTAAAATGTATTGTTCTTGGGTCCAATGTAAGTATTTAAACTTGAAAAATGTTTTGCAATGAGTCCTTGGCCTCTATGAAAAGTACCGAATAGCTAAGGAGAATTATGTTTATTTTCAAATTCTGTGACCGGTTTCCAATAATCCCTTATCAAGTAGAAGTACTGGCAGAATACCAGATAGTAAGGATCAGATATAATTCTTTGGTATAAGCATGAAACTGTTACTGATAGCTTTCCATGACTAGCATAAACCAGTAAGTAAACCAAGGAGCATGAGACAATGATGTATAGTATACAATGCAAAGTAGGCAGAAGTGATAACCTAAATGTTTTGTTTTATAGGAAAAGTCAACACTAATAATATATGTCAGAGAAACTTAATACTTCCTTAGAGGTTTGAACATCAAAGGAAACCAAAAGGTCAAGTTCCAAAACGACCAAACTTCTAAACTTGTAGCTGGAGCATTTTGCTGGATTTTGGCATTTAACTATAATTTATAGTACACAACGAGCTGAGGACTCATAGCACTATCTTGGCACCATAGAATAATTCCCTCCATCCCTCCGAAGTAGGGAAAAAACTTTCCTCATATATTTGAACTTTGTATCTTACTGGAAATCAGAGTGAAAAGTATACAAGGTTATAATGTAATTCTATTGCAATTCTGCATTTTTTTTGTTACATTTACAGTATATTTTTGTTTCGGGAGCTATAAACTGTTTAATTTAGCAAGCTTTAAAATTTATAAATTTTAACTTTTGAATAAGAATTGTAGTACTTTATGGCTATTAATTTTACTATCAAAATATCTAAGGGACTCAGTTCATTTTTAAAATTATAAGGCTTTTATAGTATTACCTGTCAAGAATTTGTGGACATTAGAAAGACTTCACTAAATCCAAAAAGTATACCTATAACCTGGATTTTGAAGTTTTTCACTTAAGTTTCTGGTCCTTCAACTTACTACTTCCTTTCATTAAATGAAACAGAAAACTGTCAGATTTTTACATCAGATCTTCTCCAACGCCCTATCAGATAACTTTGTAAATATGCATTTACAGCCTTGAATCACCAATATTTTAAACTGAGAATAATGCCAAGAGCCACATTTCTTGTTAAAAGTTCACCACTAAAGATTTACAACTCTGGGGGTTTAATCTAACACTACCTGAAAAATGAACCAAGTTCTAAATATTTCCATACACCTTAAAAGCCAAAACTGAAATTCTCATAAGATTTTTAAAAAATATATCTATTGGAGAAAAGGCAACTGCACTTATTACATCCACACTGTTAAAGGATAAGTGACAGTAACAAAGGGACCTACTCAGATTTCTGAAGACCAAGATTCACCATGGTGAAGTCTAAAAAAATGAGCAAAGGTGATGAGATCCTAAATACCACTATCATAAAAATAATCAATTTCTATCTTTTTGTCTTCCTTCTGCTGCATGAGGAACCAAAGAAGTAAACAGAACTGTTCCATATGGGCCAACCATGAAATCTTTAAGAAGAGATAGGTATATTCCCTGTTATTTTTTCAGGGCATTATTTTATACATGTTTAAAAAAAACTTCAAAAATAAAGAGTTATTCAGCCTTGTGAATATTTTGAAGTAAAGTTTCTTGAATTTCTGTGATGAACTCTTCAAGCAATCCAACTTTTCAACCAGAGTCATCACTCAAAAGTTCCTTTGACATGTGATCTATCCTACAGTTACAAAGCGGCTTCCTCCTTTGTTGAATGTCAAAGTGGCTCTTTGTTCCTTTAGGATTCCAAACCGTTCATTCAAAGTCATCCCTGTCTATAGAAAAGAAAAAAAGAAAATTACTTGACGGAAAGCTATATTTTCTTTGGAATAATAATGTGACCTTATGACTGATTAACAATAATATTAATAATAGTTAACATTCTGAATGTTTATATATATGATCTTATTTGAACCTAACAACATAAAATAGGTGAAAGTAAGGAGGGTTAGTTAGGAAAGTAGTTAAGCTGTCTACTAACAGCTTCAGAGTTTAAACTGGCAATCTGACTCAGATCCCCTATCTCCAAACAATCAAAATGTCCACATTACACACTACATAAACCACACATATATGTATATTATAAAGCCTATGAGTTATATACTTAGGATACTTCTATCTGAATTATTTTTAGGCTCTGGAAACACTGCCACCAATTTTAGTGATGTCTCTGATAAAAGTAAGAGTTATGTGGCCCAGTAATAAGAGTGATTGCCTA